CTTATTGTTGTCTGTCGTTGTTGCTGTTATTGTTGGCCAGGAATCTTCATCACCTCTGTTTTCTCAAATTTCATTTGGAGTCGTATGTTCTGTGGATGCTTCTTCTTCCAGCTTGTTGCTTTTCACTTGCATATCTTCCAGTTTGTGGGAAATCAGACATATATCATCATCGGCGAAGTCCAGATCCTCCAAGTTTTCTTTCATTCATTGGAGTTCTCTAATTGAGCAGCATGTACTACTCAAAAGTAGTGATTCATTAGGCCTAATAAAAAGTGATTCCACATGAAGCACTGAAAATAGCTCTAGAGACTGAAGGGATTATTACAAAACATATAGAAGGAAGGAAAGGTATCTATCTACTTTGTGAAACTATCAAAGAAGGACGACTTAAGCTTTTGCAATTAACTGTTGCGGAATGACGCTATTGTCATTGCCAAGTGAAATATTAAGCCGTATCATCCTAGAGAGAATAAAAAGATGCATTTGTATGCAGAAGTCCACTATGTACACGCTGGATTCAAGAAAAGCAAATCGTGTGTTGATAAAATTGTATTTTTATGCATCTCATCATGGAACAGAGCACAAAATGTCAGTCAAATTTCTGCCTTAACTTCAACAGAATTGATCATGGAGTAAATTAGAAGCTACTTCAACACCTATGCCGTGCCTCAAACCAATGGAAATAGTGTAAGAGGCCTTGAGTTCTTAAACGATTCATGCCTAATGTCACACAAACCCTGAGAACTACATATTAGTTTGTTTATTAGAGGTATCACACAGTGAAACAGTATTATTGTTCACTGGATGACCCAATTTCGAACAAAATTTATTGTTCATAATCATTTCATCAATTGTAATCACACAACTTCGAAACTTGAGTTTTATAGTTTTCTTTATTTTCTCCTATTTGTCGTCGTTGGGGTAGTAGAACTTTCCAGATATATAGCTGGACAAATGTTGAATTATTCCTATTACATGTATTTGCAGTTGATTCAATAAAAAAAGCTTCTATTATCAATCTCTCCATGCACCCAGCTGTGACATTAGATTTGAAAACTGTCAACTTATCCCATCCTATTGGCACGTTTGTGTGTAACCGCATATAGTGTTATAGCTGAAGTATTCTTTAGATTTCTTATCTTATTCAGGTCAATCACTCTAGATTTAGCTAGGTTTTATGCTCGGCTAGTCTGACTACCCCTGTTCTACTAGTTTGACCTATGTATTTGACTTGACAATTATTGAAGGCAGGGTATTAGATAAACTAAATTGTTTCGTTTTAAAGGCTCCACAGGATTGATCCTTTAACTGAAAAAGCTTGTTTCTAATTGAGTTTGTGGTTGGTTTGAATGCCACTTTTATTCCTGCCTGCCTTGTTAAGAATTCTGTGTAAGGTTTCCGAGGTTCCTTCCTTGTATGGAACTACTACTGATGATTTAGAATCCTTATTGCTGGTGTTGTCTTGCGCATATTTGACATGCATGTCGTCATCAATATTACTATTATCATTATTATTGTTATTATTATTATTATCATTATCTCTATTACCATTATTTATTATATTTTTACATTTCCTTACATATTTCCTGACTAATTTATCAGGGTAATACTTAAGTTTCAAGGCTTCTTTTATGTGTATCACTTCCCGTCTTAGATTTTCCTTGGTACTACTTAGTTTTTGTGCTCTGTCACTTAAACATTTCACCAATCCTATTTTCACTGACATAGGATGGGAAGATCAGAAATCCAAGTATCTGTTTGAATGTGTAGGTTTCCTGTAAACAAACTAGTGTGTTTAACTTCCCACCTTCTTTCCCTTTTCATGCCACAATCTAACATTGGAAGCTTCCCTTCCTGACTTTCCAATTCATAGGTGAGTTGAATTGCCTCCACCTAGGAGTTGATGTGTTAGAAAAATCTATCTATATCTTGTGTTCTAAGTATAGTGAATGTGTCATCTACATACCTCCACCATACTTTTGGGATGGGGGTGAACGTTTCAATCGCTATCTTTTCCCACCTGTCCATGAATATATCTGCTACAACCGGGGATATTGGTGATCCCATGTCAACTCCCTCAGTTTGTTTGCAGTATATTTTCCCTTGGAATTTAAATATTGTGGAAGTCAGGCATAGCTGCACTCCCAGCATTATGTCCTCAAGGACATTGTTGGAAGAAGAAGAAGAAGCAAGCAGAGAAGATTGGAACTCAAGTGAACACAGAGAGGACTGAGATGATGTTGACAAACAACCGAAGAACAAACATAACACCCAGCAACCACTATCATGGTGGACAAGGGTGAGTTTGGAATAGCTCACTTCTCTCACCCGTCCAGGGAGGACCGTTTCAACTACTGCTGACAACACATATGACGATGCCAAAGCTAGTCAGGATCGGAAAGGCAAGACAGACATTCATCGTTCTGAATTCAGATTGGAAGTCTTCTGCTCTCACTCGGAAAAAAGAATACAATTTGGATTTTGAACAACTATGTTAAGTTAGTCACGTATTCTATGTGTCAAGAACTTGCACTACGCGTCACGAAGACCATTTCTAACAGGCTATTGCAGACTTTTATGAACACCTGCCTACTTTACTGACTCCATACTGAAAATCGAATAGCCGATGAGGAAGAATTGACAACAAGAAATCCTGGCAATGAATTGGACACACACTGATGAGACCATACAGTAACATTGTGCACCAGACTATCTGTCGGTCAAGCGGAATCCGAATAAGAAACGACAAGTTGGGTGTATGTTCGAGGGTGACATGGAGGAGATAGTATGAGAAAGAGACGACAGCCTATAGAAAATTGTTTGTCTAACCTAAGAGGATCGCAGAGAATAGGACAAAACAGAGATGTACCATTGAAGTTATATGTTCCAATGGGAACTCAAACGAACAATAATGATAATACTGAATAAGTGTAAAATCTGCATTCCTTTTTGTTCAAGTTATGCTGTTGAACTGGGGCTAGTATGGTATGATTGATCGTCACGTATTAAATATGTCTGTGTGTATGTAGCTCTCATAGATTGGCACCTGATAAATGAGTTTCAAAGTAAAAATCAAACTGTAACACTTCCTGGAGTCTGACAGAAATTATTATATTAGTATTATTGTTTCCTTCAGTTCCTAGAGAAATATAGGGCTTCAACCTCACGTCTTCTTTGCGTTCCCTCCTCTGTCAACCTTTTCACCTGGCTCCACGTCTGCCCAAATGCCTTCATCTACTCTTCACATGACCTCATCCAAGTCCCCCACCTTCGCAATGACGACCAACTCCCCACTTCGCATTCGAGTTTCACTCGAGCAATGGATGGTTTGTTTTCTCAGAGTATGACTAATCCACCTCCATTTCTTCCTGCATATTTCTTGCACAATCGATTCCTGTCAGGTCGGTTCGCTCATTCATCGCCAGAGATCCCTGGTGCTGATCAATTCTGGCCTGCCACCTGAACTTGAGCGAAGTACTGAGCGAAGACAGCTGTTGATGAAGGTGTGTAGTAGTAGTAGTTCGAAGTGCTCTTTATGATGCGCTGGTCAAGTCTCTTATCCGTATAGTAAGTAACACTGACGGACTTCACAATGGAGTTGAAAATCCGGATCTTATTTTCGATACTGAGGAGTGCTGTTGACCTCCACAGAGACTTGAGAGAAATGAAACATAGCTTTGCTTTTCCTATCCTCGCTGCTTTGATATTCTCATCAGTTCCATCCGCCTATAGTTGAAACGATGCTTCCCAAGAAGGGAGGTCGGTATATCGGTAGGTGAAGGTGGGTTGGTTCTTTGAGATTTCTCCCATTTATGCTGGCTGATTGTTGTCTGTCGTTGTTGCTGTTATTGTCGGTCAGGAATCTTCATCACCTTTGCTTTCTCAAAGTTCATTTGGAGTCGTATGTTCTGTGGATGCTTCTTCTGCCAGCTTGTTGCTTTTCACTTGCATATCTTCCATTTTATGGGAAGTGTGGTGTATATCATCGGCGAAGTCCAGATTCTCTAAGTTTTTGTGTGTATCCATTTTATGCCTGTTTCCTCGTCACCCGCAGTCAAGAAATTAATCAATCGAGATTGTAGGCAGCCAGCTTGTCTTACTGTTGTCTTCACTTCAAAGGATTCCGTTAGTTTTCTGCTGTGGATTGCTTGGCATGCAGCATTGTCGTTCAACTGTTGGATGAGGTATATACTTGTTGGCGGCGTCCTTTAGTAGCGAATTTGTTGCTAAGTCACCTCTCAGTTGATGCTGTCGAAGGCCTTTCCAAAGTAAATGAAGTTAAGGTAGAGAGCTGACTGCCATTTCAAGCTTTTTTCAATGATGATCCGTAGTGCTGTGGCTTGATTGATGCATGACTTGTTTTTCCTGAATCCAGCCTGTTCCGGTCGAAGTTTTACATTCAGTTCAGCGTGTTTTATTCTCTCCAGGATGATGAGACTAAATATTTTGCTTGGGATGGACAAGAAGATAATGCCGCTCCAGTTCTCGCACTGACTTAAGTCTCCTTTTTTTGCCAATTTGAATAAGTAGCCTTCCTTCCAATCCGCAGGAGGTACCTTGCCTTCTTTCCACACCTTCTTCTCCAGTAGTGGTATCATTCCTGACTGAAATATTTATACTTATTATCATTAGTTTATACACTTTTTTATGTATATAGAATAAATGAATAGTCTTCATATAGGACAAACTAATACCATCATCTAATATAATAATACAATAATTATCATTATTGATATCGGTATTTGCTAATTATACTTTGTCCTCAATACTATCAAAATGCATAAATCAATTAACATAACTATGGTTACTGCCATTTAATGACACAATGACCACGTGATCTCTTTTGCAAAGCAGATATTGTATTCTTTAAGATCATCCCGAGGAAATTGATTGGTTGCTTATTCAAATTTCATAAAAGAACAACTTTAAAACAATATATATATATATATATATATATATATATATATATAATCAAAATCCTTAAATTTGTTTCCATCCAATATTAGTGTATAGCGCTCTCCATAATAGATCTGAAACCATTCAATTTACCCATGTTGTTACTATGACATAGAGTCGGTTATAACTGCTTTTCCTTCAAAACCAGCGGTTGAATGAAACATTTAAACATTTTCTGATCTTCTTTTCTGGAACGTCATCAGATCAAGTTTTGCTATACCAAAAAAAAAACAACAACAAAAAAGCAAATGTTTGCCGCCCAGAATAAAAGCATAAAACCCTTAGAGATTGAAGAAAGTCAATCGTTTGATACTAGTGAATTAGGCAGAACTATCAGTCGGGTAAATGCCCTGCCTATTAATATACAAGTAAGTATGTATGTAGTCGAGTTTTATTTTTTGCCGTCTTTTTGAAATACTTTATTATTCTAAACGTTATAAGTACTACTCATTTTTGGTTATATAAGTAGTTTATACAAGTAGTTCAATGGATGTGTGATTATGTTATGATAATTGATCGTCATTATAGATGACAGTTGTAATCGATTGATTGAAACAAAGCAGTACGAATATTTATTTTTCTAATAGGGGATACTACAATTTTGTCTTTTTCAATCTGATTGCTTATTTGGGGAGCCAGTTACATAGGGCGTACAATAAGGTATATTTATCGTTGAATATGCGTTGGTGGCACAGAGGTGGGATTCTCACAGACCACGCATGTCAGCCGGAGTTCCATCCCCGGCTGAAGAAAGTCCTATGTTCCACAGGGAACGTTAAGGAATAAAACACAATCGTCTGATATCCCACCACCATCCTGTATGGTTAAGCAAATGACAAATAAATTCCATTCATAGCTCTATTCAATCTCATCTCATCAATACACAGAACACAAGATTGATGTTAACAAGACTTTCAATGCTATTTACTGTATACCGACTGCTAATCCTAATTTGTTGCTGCTTTCGCCCGACCTCCCAACAGCGTCCCAAGTAGCAGCTACATCGGTGACAGATCTTGAACGCCAATCAACTGCGCAGAAGCCTTGAAGTCCTGCCCGAAGATCCATATGTCTCCATCAAAAACTGCAGGGCATCGGCTTTCCATTTGTCGGCAGGCAACGACACCAAATGTAACAATAGAAGATAAGGGCCGGCAACAGATCCTTTTATTACGGAAATCAGCACGTATTTATATACATATTTCATGTACAGTATCATAGCTTATTCAATCAGACAAACACAGTCTTCTGACTGGTTGTTTCTGGTTTCTCGGAAAGTTAAGCCATGCATCTGCGAATCATATTTGCCCACGTTAAGTCTGCTAGGATTGGTTGTTGAATCAGCCTTGTTCATATTTTCTCACGGCCAGTATTAGTGACATAGACGTTGACGTAATGCCTACCAATTGGCTAGCAGCCCGTTCTCACCACTCTCGTCCCATGGTCAAATAATTTGCACTGAAGTCGGCTTGATCTTCTTGGTGCGGGCATCATCGTTGGCTTGTCTCGCTGTATCTATTTCTGGAGCTCGCTGACGTTCACGGGCTTCTCCTTGTTCGCCATTGCGATTGTGTCTGCGTAACCCCATCTCGAAGTGACCTGACTCAAAGGGACCTGACTCAGTGACCAGCACATGAATTCTGACTTCTACCAACTCGTAATTTAGCGCGACAGGCACCAACCGATGTCATCGGTGGTACATCAATCCTCACACACTTGACTGGATGGTGGACCTCACTGATCACACCTTCTTAGCAGAACTCTAGGAAACTCCGTCCTATAAGCAGTCACCAGACAGCATCAGATTAATTTTCAATAGTTGGTTTGAAAGGATTAGATTTGTTTTAACGAGTTGATCAAAGATTGATATCAGTTAGAGAACCATTGAAAACCAGGGAGTATTGGACAGCCACTGTTTCATCCCAGTTTGGGGACCATCTACAGTACACACCCATCAGCAAGGTTCAAAGCCAGGACTTTCCGGTTACACGGCAAGCTCGTATACCATTCACCCACTGGAACCCGACTCAATGGCCAGCCCATGATTTCTAACTTGTGCCAATTTGTGGGTGCGTACTGCCGATGATTCCCAAAAACCAGGAAGAAACAGCTGTCCAGTACTCCCTGGTTTTCAATGGTTCTGTAACTAATAACAATATTGTTAATGATGATTATTCTCGAGTAACTGTAGAACCAGAAGAAATATCCGTTGAAAAGAATATTCTGAATGGGAATTTTTACTTTATAAAATATTTCATGAATAGCCATTCAGACAATTACAATATTATCCCTTGAATCAATGAATACTGTGGTTATATCTTGAGTATATTAATGTCAATGAGCTCAAAAGAAACACAGATGTACAAGTGACAATGGGAATAAGATTACTGTCAAATATCCAAGTCGCAGAGATCCTGAATCTATCGGTGATTTTAGAAGATTTAGCCTAATACGTAGAACACTATGGAGTGTGACCATCGCAGAACAACAGAAGACGGTTGGACAACACGATGGTTTAATGTTCAAGTGATAATGAAACATATATACAATGGTTAATCAGTGACAAAGTTTGTAAACAAACGTGAAATTAATAGTGTAGAACAATACTTGTGATTGTGTTACTCCAATCTTCTGCCAACCAGTGTACAATTAAACAATGACAGTCTTCTTACCGCCCGCCAAATGGAGACCAGTTTCAACAAACAAACGATTCAGTGTTAACCAACAGTGACAATTACTTTAATTTATATTTAACTTTTATACTTGATCTCAATTTTTACTTCAAGTAAAGGTTGCAAGAAAATACAAATTATTTCAAATTTCAGGTTATTTTTACGAATACTGACAAATATCATTGTAGATTTCATCATAAACGGATCATTTTCAGAAGTATCAGAAGACAGATGAGTACTGGGAAGGTGTTCCATCCTACATTAGGACATCTTTTATTGATACAGTCAAACTTTGAATTTCCGCGTTATCTCTTATCGAAATGGCTTCCATTAGAATGGAAAACAGAATTAAAGGTGTGGTGAGAGCTGGTTGTTAGTCAAAATAGGTGGACAGTAATTTACATCAATGTTTATGTCCCCAATATTGGTCGTGAGAAAAGTGAGAACAAAGGCTTTGCGTAGGCGGATACAGTTAACGTATAGATGACCTGACATTCAAGGAACAGCCACAAAGAGATGCAAGGTTAACTTTCTGTGAGAAACAACCAATCAGAAGACTGTGTTTTTTAATAACAATAATCTACAATAATGTACATTAAAATCTATAAATATGAGTTGATTTTCCTTAATAAACGATCTGTTGCCTGGCCCTTGTCTTCTCTTGTTACAAATGTGCATTGAAAAGAACATTTCCCGCTACCGAACTCATTCCGCTTTACAACACAGTATGCTCGTTAACCCAGTCAAAAGTAGGTAAGTATCCTGCTCTCCACGTCAACACCGACTGCATTTATCAATCCGCCAGCACTTGTGTCAGCAAGTATATAGGAAGGACTGAAAGGACAGCGTCTACTAGATTCTCTGTGCATATCCCTAAAAGTTTCCGTTTTCAAAGCGGTGAAGTATTCTCAAGCGCGATTGACAGACACACCTAATTGATACGGGATATACAGTGGAAATTAGTCAGGCTTTCAAAATAATTAATACACAAAGAAAAGCATAGTTACTTTGGTTCGCAGAAGTTACTGCCATTGACAGACTTCAATCTGACTTATGCATACAGAAAGAGAGCGAGACTAACTTTCACTACCCTACCTGGTAACCATAATTAATTTGTTCACATGCTTTGGTGTTTTGCCCTGTTGTATAAAATTCCACTCAATCTTGATTTCGATTTCCATTCACTGAAATGAATTCACTATTAAGGTTCCAAAACTACTTAATTAGATATTTTTATCTTTTTTATAATATTTCTTTACTATTCACTTCCGCCCTTCTGAAATCTCCACCGTTATAGAGGTATATGTACGTCTGTGGCACAGTGGTTAGGACTCTCGCCGACCATGCACATGGACCGGGTTCGAACCTCTGCCGACGCACACCTGATATCTATGGTCGACCTGAAAAATTTGGGCTAGTGATATCCATGCTGAAAATTCCATACTTGCACCAAAAATACAGTGTGGAATCAAGCTGTAAATCAAAAATAAAAAATAAAATAAAACTCTGTTATTCTATCTTGTATTTTGTTTCTACTCCATCCTTGTCTCCAAGTGGAATTAGAACTCCACCCCTTTGTCCAATTACCATATAAACAGTCACTCTTTAAACACTAAATAATTGTCTACTTACATCATCTTTGAAATTATGTTGCTGTCTACAATATAAAATCACTGTAAAAAGCATGTTTAGAAACTGGTGTAACATATAATTGATTTATTTTTAGGATGTACGCAGTTGAGGAGAATCCACGAGATATGCATATACGTACCTTCTTTCTATATTCGAACTAATACAGGGAACCGGCTCTATGAAATTATCTACTTTATTTTAAAATTTGAATATAGCGGAGGTTAGACATAACTGAACACCTAATATTTTTTCATCAACCGAGAGTTTCGTTCAACTTCTGATTTCAGGATCAATATTTAGTTAATTCTTAACTGCCTCCAGAGCTGTATTGGTATTCTGAGTTAATTATCTCACCCCCTCACTGATACGCTGATATTGACTAATTATTGTTAACAAACCTATCTCCACTAGATTGGTAAAAAGTCTTTTCATTTTATTCAAAATGCTCTGTATATTGGAGTAGAATCACAGATGAAGATCCAATAGAAAGTCAAATATTTCTTCAGTCATTATTTCTCTCCGTCTTCTGAAATAAGACTGTCAGGTTCAGACCAGGAGTCAAATATTTGATTGGTAGATATTTCATTCTCTAACAACATTATTTCTATGATATTTCCTATCATCCTCCATTGTCATGTGTAATAAATGAAACTGATTTACTAATATTAGTTTATACTACTGATATAGTTATATCAGTAGTCATCAATTAAAAGATAAATTGTTATTGACTGAAACTGTCTGAGAAAACTTAAAGAAAATTAATGTACGCTATCATACTGTAACAGTTAAAGTATAGCATTCCAGGAGTGCGAACGAAGCGATAACACTAAACGCATATTCTTCTTCAGATGATAAGACCTTTCATTATTGCAGCACCGCAATGAACAGAATTCACGAAGGTTTAGGATTAGGATTAAGTTTGGCGCTATTGTTAGGGTGTTTTACTTGTATTATCTACATTTTTCTAGCAAATACTTATGGATTCACTTACTCGAACTAATACCAACTAAATTGAGGGATTCTGCAGACGACTGAAAAATAAGGTAACAGAAATAAATGAAAACAAGCGATGATTCAGCGAAGAGACTCTTTTCAATGAATTTTGATCATCAAGCTGTACAGTTGTATATATGTGGTGTCTTTTAAGAAGTTATATCAGGTGAGGGAATGGCATCTTAGGTGTGAATGCATAAATAATAATAATATGATGTTCAATTAAAACTAAAATAATTGTGATTATAATCGTAGTTGAATGTCAAGTGGCAAAGCAAATTAATGTCATATATAGAATAATTCATAGGATGGATAGAACTTGAAAAAGGCTGTGCAATTATAGGATTAGTAGACAAATCGAATAAAACAAAAACGTTACGTAATATTGTGTGAAATTTAATAGTATAGAACCTATCGTTGTAAAAAATAATCGATTCAGAATGACAAGTGGAACAAGTGAAATAATACCTGGGACAGTTCAAAGTGAGAATAGTAATAGTAACAATTAACATGATGAGGAAGAGGATACAAACTGAATAGACAAAATGAAAAAATGGAAAACTGGTGGAGCTAAAATATGATTGGGGATTATCATATTTTAGCATAGACGGATTAAGACCATGAAAGTTGGAGGGGTTGAACGGACTTTTTCTGTACACAGAGATCTGGCTTTTCTGTTTCGATAGCCAAAGCTTCAGCAATACAGATGAATCGGGTACGTAGGGATTTGGGTAGATTACTCTTTGCCTTGTAGATGACTTTAAAGGCGGAGGCTATAGAGATAGGGTGATCATTATCGACCAGATGTTCTATGATCGCGCTTCTTATTGCTCCACTTCCACCTTTTCGTAGCCATGCAGGATAATGTTCTTGCACCCTCTTGGACAAAACTCGAGTCGAACGACCGATATACCTAGCTCCGCACTAGCAGGTGAATTGATAAACACACATAGAGTTGGTCAACATCGGGATCTTGTCCCTCAGGTTATTGGACAGTAATGGTCGGCTAGTAAAGGTTATTCTCAGGGATGCAGCAGGGAATGTTCTTTTCAGGGACTGTGTTATCCTTCGTTTCATGATATCGGAAGCTAAGTCCCCTTTGAATTCCAAGCTCATGTAAAGTATTTTCTTCGGTACGGTTGATAAGTCACGTTTTGTAGTCTTTGAATGTATGTTCTTATCTATAAAACGTGGTAAAAATCAATTTTCCATTAGGAATTTCCTCAAAATGTATAACTCATCTTCCACAGTACCAGTGCTACATATGCGCCGAATACGAGTGGCAAGCGACCGGACCAGATTTCGTTTTTGACCAACGGGTACCCAGTTGTAGAAATATTAGCTCCACCAATTTTTCATTTTTTCATTTTGTCTATTCAGTTTGTATCCTCTTCCTTATCATGTTAATTGTTACTATTACTATTCTCACTTTGAACTGTCCCCGGTATTATTTCACTTGTTCCACTTGTCATTCTAAATCAATTATTTTTTACAACGATAAGTTCTATACTATTAAATTTCACACAATATTACGTAACGTTTTTGTTTTATTCGATTTGTCTACTAATCCTATAATTGCACACCCTTTTTCAAGTTCTATCCATCCTATGAATTATTCTATATATGACATTAATTTGCTTTGCCACTTGACATTCAACTACGATTATAATCACAATTATTTTAGTTTTAATTGAACATCATATTATTATTATTTTATGCATTCACACCTAAGATGCCATTCCCTCACCTGATATAACTTCTTAAAAGACACCACATATATACAACTGTACAGCTTGATGATCAAAATTCATTGAAAAGAGTCTCTTCGCTGAATCATCGCTTGTTTTCATTTTCTAAATGTTACAATGAGAATTTTCCATGAGTTAAAGAAATAAATGAGTCACAAAAAGAACTCATCTCTAGTCACCATGACAAATATGTACGCAAATGTCGGTCTAACTTTAAATCTGCGACTCTTCTTTATAATTAGGAGGTATTTTAACAAGCCACATTGAAGAAAATATTCTGTTCAATATGCTTCTTTATCATTATGTTTTGTATTCGTCTACTAAATAAACGTTATTTTTATGTAGCAACCTCTGTTCCTTCTGATTAGTTGTCTCAGGATCAGTCAGCTTTACTCATTCCATGAATCGTGACTGTTTAATGTCCCCCCACCCCCACCCTCAAACACTTGTTTTCTTGATTTCTTATATTAGCATATATGGTATGAAGTATATCCGATAGTGTGATCCTCAGTATTTTTGATTTCGTAACGAAATCCTTGTAAAATATTCACCCTGAACGGTATAATTTATTAATTATGAATTTTAATTATCAACAACACTTCTTGTTTGAAAATCCATCATATTCTCGTCTAATATGCATAAAGTGTTCATTAAGACTTATGCATTTAGTAAACTGTTAACCTGATAAGTTAATTTCGGCTTTTTTTAATTCAAGGATCATGGTGATCATTGGAGACGAATAAACGAGTTAGTTGAAACTTCGAATCCCCTTGTATTAGAAGATCAGTCGTCATCAAGACGATTATCTCAGGTTAGTGAAAAATAATTTCGGTTATTTTATAAGTAAAGACAGTATGAAATGATCTGTCAATTCAGTGGAAACTATAGACAGTCGTTTCGATCTTGTGGCAAAGAAATATAAAAAACAAAACCTGAAATAAGAAGATTACGACTAACGTGAATTCATCCAAATCATTCAAATTTTCTGAGTTTATTGTGATGAGTGAATTTCCCCAATGTAAAGTGAATGCTCGTAGATGACACTGGTTAGCAATGGCGTTATTTTACGTTAAATGACAAGAGTTATATTTCACGAACCCTTGAATGTGGTGTGCCCAATGGTTCACTAGTCAGGAGGCTTCCTTGGTAGTCTGAAGGTCCAAAACTACGGTAAAATAGCCTTCGAATGTCTATTCCTTCCCTCTCACTTGTTTTATACATTGTTGTTTATTAAAGACTATGCAGGATATTTTGTCTAAGGATGGATCTCCTAAGAGTTTCATCAGTCAATGCTCTGAAGAAATAAGCTCCAGTAAAAGTAACCAGAAAGTTTCGACGATATATTGAATTTCTTTCTCTGATAATTAATTGTTTATTTAAGTGATCCAATTGGACTGTAATACATTTCAGGTTAATCTGAGTTTCTCATACTTCCTTCCCCTTATCTATTTGAACATCGCATGATAAGACATTCACACCCAACTCCATATTAGTTTGTTTATTAGATGTGTCACACAGTGAAACAGTATTATTGTTCACTGGATGACACAGTTTCGAACACAATTTATTGTTCATAATCATTTCATCAATTGTAATCACACGACTTCAAAACTTGAGTTTTATAGTTTTCTTTATTTTCTCATATTTGTCGTCATTGGGGTAGTAGAACTTTCCAGATATCTAGCTGGACAAGTGTTGAATTATTCCTATTACATGTATTTGCAGTTGATTCGATAAACAAAGCTTCTGATATCAGTCTCTCCCTGCACCCTGTGACATTAGATTTTAAAACTGTCAACTTATCCCATCCTATTGGCACGTTTGTGTGTAACTGCATATAGCGCTATAGCTGAACTATTCCCTAGATTTCTTATCTTATTCGGGTCAATCACTCTAGATTTAGCTGGGTTTTTATGCTTGGTTAGTCTGATTACCCCTGTTCTACTAGTTTGACCTATGTATTTGACCTGACAATCATTGAAGGCAGGGTATTAGATAAACTAAATTGTTTCGTTTTAAAGGCTCCACAGGATTGATCCTTTAACTGAAAAAGATTGTTTCTAATTGAGTTTGTGGATGGTTTGAATGCCACTTTTATTCCTGCCTGTCTTGTTAAGAATTCTATGTAAGGTTTCCGAGGTTCCTTCCTTGTATGGAACTACTAGTGATGATTTAGAATCCTTATTGTCGGGGTTGTCTTGCTCATATTTGACATGCATATCGTCATTAATATTATTATTATTATCACTATCGCTACTATGATTATATATTTTATTTTTACATTTCCTTACATATTTCCTGACTAATTTATCAGGGTGATACTTAAGTTTCAAGACTTCTTTTATGTGTATCACTTCCTGTCTTAGATTTTCCTTGGTACTACTTAGTTTTTGTGCTCTGTCACTTAAACATTTCACCAATCCTATTTTTACTACCACAGTGCCCAAGTTTTATACATATATTAATAATTCACACCTAACATTTTGCGTGACTGATTCAATGCCATTTATTCGCTAATCAGTCTTATATCCCCCAATGTAATTCTAAAAGTATATATATATATATCCCTGTGTGTAGAGTACTGAGCTGAAGTGGTCTACTTAAATTTTGTGAATTCATCAAAACCTTAAATACTAATCTTTGTTGCTTGTTTTAAATTCTTATTGAGGAGTAAATATTTTTCCTCAATATTTCCCTCATAAATTTTACCAGAGCACTAGTAAAGACCCTCAAATATAGAGCCAGATCTATTTGTTCAGAAGATGTGGCTGAAGACAAATTTAAAATTATGTATAACACATTAGCTAAAAACAGCTCCCATAGAAACTTCATCACCAAACACACTACTAAGACTGCAAGAAAGGGTTGTTCTGCCTCTGTGAACGAGATGCCTCCTGAAAAAATACAACTACACTCCAACGAGGATATTTCAAGTGAAGTAATAATCAACACTTTGAGGAAATCCATTCAAAAAGAGTTGAATGCTGGTTAGCTGTAACTTATATTTTAACACAAACAGTTGTGATTCCTCCAAATGAAAGGTGAAATACCTAGTCTAGCCACTACTAATTATATTTGTCAATTCGTTGCAATTACCATTGCAATACACCTAAAACAGTCGCAGCTCTGTGTGCAAAAGAAGTGTAGGTCTAGCCAGCCAACAATATCACCCTGACCAACTGTTGAACCTACGAACTCATAAATTCTGTGTCACTTCCCTTAATTCGTCTGATATATAGTCAGTTTAGTGTTATATGAGTATATGTATAAATATCTCTCGCTTACTGTTGCCAGTGAAATGATCTAGTGTAGTTTAAAACAGCATTGACGCTGTTAATTAGAATAATTAGAATACTCAAGCAGTACACCGTCTACAATGGAAAGTCCTCCACTACCTCACTTACTTTAGCTGGTGTTCCTCAAGGTGCTGTTCTTTCTCCCTTTCTGTTTTCCTTTTTCTTACATGATTTGCCTCATTCTGATGTATCCACTTTTGTTAAGTATGCGGATGACCTCTCTGTTTCCATGCCTTGCAACTCTCGGTCAGATTGTTCCAATTTAAATAACTTTCTGTCGGAAATTAGTCAGTGGTCATCTTCAAACGGTCCTAAGCTAAATCCCTCTAAATGTCAGGTAGTCAATTTCATTTTCAGACGTAAACGTGACCTACAGCAACTAGTTAGCTCACATGGCCCCACGGTAATTTACGGCACAGAGGTTGAAAATACATCTAATGTCAAACACCTTGGGCTGAGTTTTTCCACCGATCTTTCCTGGTCTTCCCACAACTTGCAGTTACTAGAAAGATGTTCCGTTTAACGTTCTACATTAGGAAATTTAGGCAGTCTGGCATAAAGCAATCTTTGCTTTCTCAGTTTGTGCCCATCCCTCTTTACTGCTCCCCATTAATCTCTCCTGGACTACTTAAGAAAGACTTTTCTTTGCTGAGAGGGGCACTAAAAGCCGTTAGTAGGGCAACTGGGATATCGTTAAACCAACTAGTTAACACTATTGTGGATAGACATATTATGTCATGTAAGAAACTAGCGAATACAATATTGTCAGATCCCGAGGATCCTCTCTATACTCAGCTCTCTCCTTTCATTTCATCTGGTCGAACAAGAAGCAGCTATAGGAGGCTATATGCTAGGACTACCAAGTACAAAACTCCACAATACCATATCTGGCACAGTTGTTATGTGATGAGAAATCCGTTAGGTATGACAAGATAAACTTACTGCGGCACTCTAACAAATAGTCCCATTAGTTTTTGTTTTCCTTTCCTCGTTACTATTACACTGTTGTTCTTATCTTCTATTACACATCAATTTTATACTTCATATGCTGTAGTGAATTGTTTAAAATGAAAACGCAAAGCTGTTTCTTTTCTTTTTATTTATATTCTTCTTTTTTTGGGTGTTACTTTTTGATTTTAAAAGTCTTATAAAATTTATGAGGTAATTAGATGCAATATATTGTAATGCACGTTGAGAATTCCATACATGTACTACAAATACTGTTTGGAATAAAGCTGTTATTATTATTATTTCTGTCATATAAATGCAGAATTTTATTGATAAGAAGTTATCGAAGAGAATATTCTCTGTTCATTCGGGCAGTCTTTTAAATATCACAATATTAATCTAAAGGGCTGTCTATCATTCAGGTTTTGAGGTCAAATTTTGGTCAAGTTTACTGTTGGTTAAAACTAGGTAAGAATTAGAGCTGAATTAAGACACTGGTGTTTTTCAAGAGAGCTTTTTCCTCAGATTATTAAACAGCAGTCGTTGTGCGTTCTAGTTAATTTTGCCGCTATAAATTTTTTCCCCTTCACGTTCCTCAGTGGAGTACATAAAGCTTCAAGCTAGTGGCTTGAAGTTTCTGTAGCAGTATTTATTTTACAGGATGGGGTTGCTAGCCAGCGTCATGCCCAACTTTTCCTCTATTACCAGCTTTATTTCTGGCTTAGCTAGATAAAGAAGTGCGTCTGTTACCGGGGTTCGAACCCCGGACCATGTGTATGGTCGGCGAGCGTCCTAACCGCTGTGCCACCGCCGCAAATGCAAAGCTTTAAAAGCGGCTTCAACGTCACTGGTTTTCGATGTGATATTAAAAGTATCCAAATGCAGTAAAGAAGATGGGTTTAAGAATAGAAGGTTGGAAATGTTGTAGTGTATAGAAAAAGATTTTTAACATGCTAATGTATATGAAAAATGAAGAGTGAAAATAATCATCTAAATCAGGAAATTTCTGAAATTACTATGTAATACTGTGTTAAGATATGTCCATAATACAGTACTACATCAGTGTCAGCCAACTCTCATAAACTGTCAATGTCCAGCTCTTACTACGCTGGACCTCACGCTGTCCCTCAAAGACTTTCAGAAACACTTTGTAATAAACAACGCGAAAACCAGAACACAGATTGGTGACTCAAGAATCCTTTATTCTTACGCCAACATGTAACTAACAATAAGGTTATTACACACAAGATCTAAGAATAAATGTTATAACAATAAATCATGATAATACTACTACTAATATTTTTATCTTCCCTGAATAGCGAACGATGAGACAATGACTGCACTATCGATGACTCCCGAGAAAATTATGGTGGAGTTGGGTTTGAGCAAACAACCATGAATTGATCGTTCAGTCGTCAACTACATTGACAATCATTGTGTAAATGGTTATTATTATTATTGTTCCTTTGGATGCCGAGAGGAGCATAGGGTTTCAACAGAAAATTTCCATTTCACCTTGTCCTCTGCAGTCCTCTCTAGCTGGCTTAACCATTGCACACAGGCTCCCACCCTCTTCACACCTTCTTCTCCTTGTGACACTAGCACGCTTAACCAGTTGTCTCTCACACGGCTTCCACTCAATGACGGCCTGGCGTGTAACTTCACCCAATGGTCTCCTCAGCGTATGTCTGATCCACCTCTGTTTTTTTTCCGGAATATTTTTTCACCAATAGGTTCATTGCCAGAGCATCTTGTTACCGATTCGTTCTGACCTCGTCTGATCTTAAATATCCAAGCAGAGTGGGTGGCTGTTGATTAAAGTTTGCAGCGCTTGCTGAAAATCTTGATTGTGACACCCATTTTTTAAACCATATAGAAAAAGTCGCCTTAATATTCTTATCCGTGCCGTCATCAGTAATTTTAAAAGACTCTGCCTAGAGGGAGTGACGTCATTTAAATTTCTCCTGTCGGTAGTGATTGTTACTTGTTGTAGCTGTTACTGTTATTATTGGCTGATTATACTCACCACATCCGTCTTCTATGTGTTTAATTAAAGTCCTGTCTTCACCGTTTGCTTCTCCTACCATTTTGTTGGTATCCACCTGTAAGTCCTTGAGATTATATGAAATTAGACATAAATCGTCTACGAAGTCCAATTCTTCTAGAGTCCTCATAATCGAAACAAAGCATTTCTGTCTTTATCACTCCAAAGCACAGCTTACCTCAGCACAAATTAGGAATATTATCGATGAAAGTAGGTGAACAGCCCTGTTACCCTTCTATCTTCACGTCTAAAGCAGGCTTCAATGAGTTTTCCGTTGTGAATCACTTAATATGTGGCATTGACATATATATGTTGAATCAGGTTGATAAATATTCGGCGCAATGTAATCCGTTGAATTGAAGTAGTTTCCGAAATACTTCGTGGTCAACGCTAGATAAGAAAAGTAAATAAAAACTCACAAACATCAAACCATGAGATATCTGCAGTAAGTGCCATCAGTTAAAAAACAACACCACTATTTTAGTCCACTTATATTCTATTCGGATACACAAAAGAATGAGAAATATATTCCAGCGGACATTCATGTCTAAATTTGACTGAGATTTTATAAAATGACAGTAATAAATTATGAATAGTAAAGTTCATCAAGTTCGGTATAAGGGTTATTCCATTACCAACACATGATAGTGGATAACAATGAAAGTTTTTCGGGGTATAATGGAAGTTAGAATTTCAATGAAATCACCAGAGATAATGCCCAGTGGATGGGTCGAATCTCGCCGCGTTGCAGCACTATCTAAAGTAATATCATGAGTTAATTACAAAATTATCTGTAACAATGATAATAATCAATTTATTCAAAAAATAATTATTATAAAGAATGGAGTTTTCGGGGTTTTTATATATGCTTTCACAATATGCCGACTCCATTATTGCATAAGGTCCGGAAAGAGGGGAAGGTGCCTACCGACTGGAGAAAAGGTTACCAAAGAAGGGCGACTTAGGATTCTGCGAGAACTGGGGAGAGATCATACTCCTATCGACGCCAGGTAAAATCCTGAGTCGCATCATCCTGGAGAGAATAAAGGACTCACTAAATATAGAACTCCGCCAGCTGGAACAAGCTGGATTCAGGAAAGGCAAATCATGTACTGACCAAATTTCAAGTCTACGCATCATCATCACAGAACAAAGCATGGAATGGCAATCAAACCTCTACCTCAACTTCAAAGACTTTGAGAAGGTCTCCAACAGACAACGTTGACCGCGAAGCCATTTTGGAAACTACTCGAGTACTAGGGCGTACCCCAAATATTCATCAAACTTATTCAACAGCTGTACGATAACGGTACATGTCAAGTGATCCACAACAGAAAACTCAGCGAGAAGTTTGGAATAGACACAGGAGTCAGACAAGGCTGCTTATTATCACCAATGATATTCCTAATTGTGGTGAACTGGATTATGCGTCAGACAGTGGGAAACGAGCAGACAGGAATATCCTGAACAGACGTGAAGAACCTAGAAGACCTGGGTTTTGCACGTGGATGATTTATGTTTGATGTCACACGAAATCGAAGACTTATAAGAGAAAACCGACAAACTGGTCGAAGAAGCAGGTAGTGGAGACATGACTCCAGGTGAACATAGACAAGGCGAAAATTATGAAAATAACCAACTAACGGCAACAACAACAGCACCAAAATCCAGCATCAATCACCAGCGACGGAAGGGATTTGAAATAGGTTACTTCATTCAATCACTTATCTAGGGAGTCTTGTCTCAACTACAGGCACTCGGAAAGGACGAGGATGTCATATCAAGCGAGAATCGGGAAGGCGAGAAACATGTGTTCATCAACCTGAAACCAATATGGAAATCTTCGTCACTCAGCCAGCATCAACAACAAAATTCAGTCGCATTTTCAATACACACAAACGTCAAGTCAGTCAGTTCTTCTATACGGATCAGAAACTTGGCGGGTGGGTCACAAAGAATATTTCCTACAGCCTGTTGCAGACCAGACCTTTATCAACAACAACTGTCTTCGCTGGCTCTATACTGAAGATCAGATGGCCGGGCCGGACCGAAAAGAATCAATCACCAACAAGAAACTATGGGAACAAACAAACAAAATAAGAACCAATCGTCACCCAACAAATATGCAGGAGAAAATGAAGATGGATTGGACACTCGCTGAGGAGGCCGGCCGCTGGGTGACATCGCGCGTGCGTCAGGCCATTACTCGAGTGGAACCACGCCGAAAGGGAAGCGGCGAGTGGGATGTCAGTGCAAGAGTGACATGGAGGAGATCGTGTGAAGAGGAGTTGAAAGAGTATGGACTAACTAACATAGATGCAGGTGAAAATTACAGCAGAAGGAAGAGTGAAGTGGCAAGTGGAGACGTGCAGTTGAAGCCCTATGTTCCACTAGGAACAGAAGGGAACAATAATATTAATACTTAAATACATGATATTGTAAAACTAGTAAGAATCACAAAGAACGAAACTTAGTGAAATATAATGAACAATGCATACCATATATGTGTGTCAATAATTCTTGTTATAATTTGCTGTTTATTTACTGATATGAAAAGACTGTAAGCCTCTTTTCTGTCATTCGTCTTATCACACAAAATTCGTCTGCAACATGGTATGACTTAATTTTTATATTTTGCTGCACCAGAATAAACACTTATGAAGATTCTTCTGGATTTAACCCAAAGAGGAACAAAGAAATAAGTGAGAGTTAAGATGATGTCCGTGTCAGACGAGATAACTTTAGCTAACTGCTTGCAAGAATTCAAATACCCATGGACAAGAACAATGTCAGTTAGTTCTGTCCTATTTACAACCTTCAATGATCTATGTAATAGGACACAGTTGTTTTTGAGAAGTCCAGGAAAGAATAAAGAAGAACAATTCAGGAGAATGGGCAGAATACATGAATCAGTAGATTAAAAGAGAAGAGGTTGAATTATGCCGACAGAATGTCTCAACATCTTTATGTAATAAGTCAAACGAAAAATTTGCTTAGAAATCAACAAGATATGAGACGACCAACAGAGATTCAAGTAGCAACTGATGCCGAGATAGGAGATATTAGGTGAACTCTCTCTCTCTCCCTCTGTCTGTGTGTTGATTTTACAAAAATTCAAGGGACAGAATCAGTCAAGTTGTGCAAATCTTTTTTTACATCTGACATCTGACGTTTAGATGGATTCAATTTAATATCATTCAGCTGATACCGCTTCTTAACTTCAGACAAGAATCTTTTTATATAAGAATAATCCAATGCGGAAATTATTGGGATAGAAATTGTCAGGTCATTGGCATATTTAATGAAATTAACTTTGAAATTTTATGGGAAGTCATGCAAAAAGGAAAAAAATTAGAGAGCACAGTACCTTGAGGCACATCAGTTTCTGTCAGTTAGGAATTTTGGCGCTTTCAATTCAAAACAGTATGTTGTTTTCCACTCGACAAATAAGACGACAGACAGCCACCTTATGTATGACCCAGGACTTAATGCATGCTAAAATCATCAGCCCGTTTAGTAAAAGCATCCTGGGAATAGACTGAAAATCAGCTGTGTAGTCTAAAAAGGAGGCCTGAAAGTCTCCTTGTATCTTTATAAAGACTCAGAACAATGTTGTGGTGGTGTATGATGATAGAATGTAATGTGATTTATACTGCAAAGTGCTTTCTGGTTATTTTTAGATTTCAATAATGATTTATGAACTATAGTCTGTATACTTTTTTTAGTACTCTGTATACTAATGTTCAGAATTTTTCTTTTTCCATCTAGGCGTCTAAAAGCAGTAGTGGAAAACACGGATCAGGATCTCTGTCCCAACAATCGCGTAAATCTACTGTAAATCTATTAAGTAGGGTAAGAGATTATAAGCCTAAATTATAGTGTACATTTTAAATAAGAAAGAATAAGAGAAAATGTTTTAATTTGGTTAATCCAAAGAAATAATATTCTCATCGACTGAAATGTTGTTGTTTTTTTTAAGTACAGTTTTTGATGAAATAATTTTCTCTCATAATTTTTCCTCAGTAAATACTACTTTACAGTGTTGTTGCATTACGTAAAGAGATTGGCTTAGTTGCAAAGATTTCAATTGCAAGATAGAGTGAGGGCTCTGAATTCCCTTGGATGAACTTGAACATTGCTGGTTGACTTTGAAGATTTAATTGATCCTCTTCTTCACTGGTGTCATCATTAGATAGTCAAAACAGACCTATTGACGTGGATTATTCCTGTCACAAAGTTAAAAATAAATCGAAAAGATGATAGATTATCTATCTGGTAAACAAAAAAATGGTCGGTACTAACACAAAGGGATAAGAAAGTATTTGGAGATAAATAGTGTCATATTCATTTTTCTCAGGATTATGACCTCTATGAAGCAGTTTCACAGTCGGCGTCCAGGTATTGCACGGATGAAGTCAGTCACCAGCAGATATGCATATTTGCATTTAATAGTGTTCTCGGAGCTAATTGGTTTAGTTGCGGAGCTTTCGTCGTCTTTCTGGACGACGAAGTATTTAGAATAAAGTGAAATGATTTAAATTTCTGCATGAGTGACAGAAGACTACATAAAAAAAGCAGAGGATTTACTCAAAGATAATAATATATCTCAACAGTTGACAAAAAGCCCTATACAAACATTAGATAACAAAATCAGAACAACGTTAAATAAACTAATGAAATCAGGACAAATTATAGAACAAGATCAATGACGAATGAAATCTAATGGACCTATTTTACCTCGATTCTATGGTAGATCAAAACTACACAAACCGAACATCCCCTAACGACCAATTGTTTCGCTTCCAGGAACACCAACATATAATCTATCTAAAGAACTTTTCATTAAGTTAAATTACCTAACAGAATCATGCGACCATTCTATCAATTCATCAATCCAATTTTTAGAGAAAATCGAAAACATTCAGGTAGAAGACAATGAAATAATGGTGTCCTTTGATGTCACAGCATTATATACTTCAATTAGTCCAAAACTAGCAACAATTACTCTATAGTGATGAAAACATAAAAATGCAATGTTCAACTTGGATCGAACTCATAAAATATGCCTTACAACATACTTCCAATTAAATACTCAAATATATGAGCAAATAAAAGGAACACCAATCGGATCGCCCATATCAGGATTAATAGCTGAAGCCATCATGCCGTCAAGATTAAAATTAATAGCTCTACCTATAATTAAACCAAAAGTCTGGGTACGTTACGTTGATGATTCATTTGTAATAATTAAAATAAACGATTTAGAATATACCCATAAATTAATAAACAACATATTTGAAGACATCAAATTCACAAGAGAAGAAGAATTAGATAGCAAAATCCCATTTTTAGATGTCTTAATCAGGAGAACCAACACAGGAAATTTCGAAACACAAGTATATAGAAAGTCAACGCACTTAGATCAAATACTCAACTATACTAGCAATAATCCAATTACTCACAAAAGAAACTGTGTGCAGACATTGTTCAGAAGAGTTCAAACACATTGTAGCCCTCCAGAGTTGAAAAGAATGAAAGAAAAATACTTACAAACGGTCTTCAAGAAGAATGGTTATCCAAAAAATTTCATCAAAAAGTGTTTAAAATCGAATGAAAGCATTAACAAAGAACCATCATGAAAGACCAAAAAGATGTTCATCCTACCATACATCAGAAATATCTCTGAAATAACGGCTAGAATGAAATCGTTTGATATAGATGTAGCACACAAACCAGTCGAATCGCTTAATTCGATCTTATGCAAACCAAAAGATCCAATAGAAAAAGGAGATAAAATTAACACCATTTACAAAATAAATTGTATGAACTGCAACATGGATTACATCGGCCAAAGTGGGCGTCCCCTTCGAATAAGAATCCAAGAACACAAATCAGTCGTGAAAAGACATGATATAAATTCTTTAGTATCAATGCATACAGACAATTATGGACATCAATTTGATTGGATAATGTCAAAATCTCAAACAGAGGAAACACCAAATGTGCAGCGGGAATTCCTAGAAGCCTGGTGCTCAAACGAAAACGCCATTAATAAACACGTTAATATAGATGAAATATATCAACTAATAAAAAGTAAATCAGATGGCTAGAAAGTTTAAAATCCAAGTCAATAAAATACAGTCGATATATATCTAAAGATGGTTACCGGCAGACGCAATTACACCACTCATGAAGAAATTTAAATCATTTCACTTTATGTAAATACTGCGCTGAAGAAGTCGTTTAGAAAGACGACGAAAGCTCTGCAACTAAACCAACCAGCTCGGAGAACACTATTAATTGCAAATCATCCACCTGAGTTTTAAATCTTGTCTATTATTTCAAGATATGCATATTGGTCGAGTATGGACACTAACATAAAAGATTTCAATAACCGCTGTCACAGGTACCAAGGTATAACTAAAAATTCACCCCACGAGGCATCACTACCATTTTCCTGACTCCGGATCTTGGACGCCTATTCATAATGTCCGGAGGTAATACCAGTTGCCACACCCCAAACAGCAACCCCAGGAGAAATCTTCGCAATTCATAGCACACCAGAATGCACGGTATCTGACAACAGCAGTCCATTCACTTTGAAAGTGTTCCAGGAATTCTGTAAGGAAAACGGTATACATCACATACTGACACCACCTTACTACCCTTAGTCCAAAGGCCAAGTAGGAAGATCTGTAAACACCCTCGAAAGGGCTTTAATGAAGGCAGGTGAGGGGCTTAACTGGAAACCAAACACCACTTCTTCTTTGTATATCACACCACAGTATTGGTTGTGAATTTAACACAAAGTGTGTGTAATATAAACGTCAAGTAATAATTATTAAATTTTAAGTTGTAGCAACTTGACATGCCCAGAACAGAATGACATCACCTTATCTTTTTTCAATGCCCTGCTAACAAGAAAAAAATCAGCATTATAAAGAGGAGTGTTTTCCGGAAAAGATCAGGGGTTGGTCAATACACCCATTTCAGGTTGTTTGTTCCTCTTCCATACAAACGAAGTATCATCAGTATCCTGATGTTTCGTGCTAGGAAAATCTGCACAACCGACACCCTTTATGATAGAATAAGGGAAATAGAAAACTTATTGTAATACAATGGATATCTGGAATGACTGTTGAAGTCTCCATGGTGAGAATAGATCAAGAGATATGCCTGCAAACTATAGAGGAGAAAAGTATATATATATATATATATCATTTTACAGTTCAAACGAAACACAGCCAGTGAATTGCTGACATCGAAACACCGAAAATTAGTTGCTAAAACAACTTTCACACCAACACTATGTTTAAAATTCACCACTAGTTGAAAAATTCCAATGCAGGTGATGGATTAGCCACCGAGTCTGGCCACCTCAATGTGCATTTATATATTTGACTTTTGTGGGTAAAATATTTTTTGATAAAGTCTCACAGTGTCATACAGTAATATTTACGGGTGACCACGTTTCGAGAACAATTTATTGCCACTCATAATCATATCAAGGCATTACTCACACACATCTTCGTTTATATAATTCCATTACTTTTCATCGCTTGATTTGATTGGTAGCAGTATTTTCCATTTATCCGATGTGAGTGCTAAGTCATTCTTATTTCACGTGTTGGGTGTAGATTCACTCAATGAACCAGGCAGGATTCAGTAATCAACCTCTTTCGCTCTCTACCTACCTTTATTACTTCTCAGAATTTTAACCCTCTTCCACCATGCCATTGTGTGGTTGTGTGTTGATGCATGCAGTGAAATGTAGTGGTGAGGTTTTTCTTCTAAATTACTGATCATCTCGGAGTCAACCATTCTAACCTTAGCTGAATTCTTATATTTCGACAATCCGACCACTTCTTATCTACTAGTTTAATCTATGTAGTTGACCTAACTCACAGTCATTACAAGGTATTTTGTAAATTATATTATTTTGTCGAATATTACTATATAACACTCACAGTCACCCACAATGGAATTATACTCTACCACAGTTCACAAGTTTTATTCCTCTATCAATATTTGACTGTTGTTGCGCAGACGGTAATATAGGTAGAATGACTTGCCGAACCCATTGTTTCCCTCTTCAGCAATGTCTGACACGTTTGGTTAAGGAGTCGTAAAGTCGATCAGGAAATCTATACTGATACGTACACCTTGTGGATAGTGATCACAAAACTGGCGAAAATTCAGCTCTTACAATTCTACACATGGTGCCACCTCAACTCCTTTAGCCTTTTTTTTACATTTTTTACATAACTGTAAAGTCTGTGAGAATTTATGGGAAATACGTATTTCGATAGAGAGAGAGAAAGGCCAGATTTGGAGTATAAAATGATACCATTCTATTGCACGAGCTCTCATCAGCTGCAAACTACCTGAAATTACAATGGTTATAAATAATAACATCGCAAACTTCAATTTTTGAAAGGTGATGATGACAAAGCGAAGTATCCAACAGTTGAAAAGAAGAATGTGTTCATTACCCTCCCATAGAAAGCAGAAGCAGTACCACGAAAGATAGAAAAGAGGATTAAAGTAGCACTGAAGAGATGCTTCTATGCAGTTAAGCTGGTGACACTATATAGCACTACATGTTCTATAAGCCAGTCGAAAATGGATAAGTACCCTGCTGATGTTGCCTTCAACTGCATTTATAAATTTACATGCACCTGTGGCAGCAAGTACATTGGAGGGACAGAAAGAAGGACTTCTATCCGATTTTCAGAGCATATTCCAAGAAACTTATGCTTAAAAAGAAGCAGATATTTAAAAAGTATAATTACCAGACACCTTGCGGATACGGAGCATTTTGTCGAGATTTCCAAATCCTTCAAAATATTAAACATACAAAAGACAGCGAATCTACTACGATTTGCTGCTGAAGCAATTGCAATCAAATGTCTCAGACCAAACTTATACACACAGAAAGAGAGTGTGGTCAATCTCTCACTCCCTTGGTAACCAACCGTATTACTTTCATTACACTGATTAGTCATATACACTAGTGAGCGCAGTTCACTAGGCAAGTTTTCACTTGAGTTGCAGTGTTGACGTACAAGTTAACACTGTTTATTAGATTTTTCTGTCTCCTGTCTACCCTCACCCCCACTTTTTCTTTTTTCAGTTTGATAGCATATCAATTGACGGTAACTTAAACTATAAATTTTAATAGTTATATTCTAGGTGCATTCGTCTTATTATGTTTTCTCTAATGCCTATCAAACATTGAAGTATGAAATGTTATTATCTGTAGCCATTGTAATTTCATCAGGTAGTTTGCAGCTGATGAGAACCTGTGAAACAGAATGATGATATCATTTTATACTGCAAATATGATCTTTCTTTCTCTATCGAAATTTATCAAGGGAACCAAATGTATGAAATACATATTTGTTTGCTTAAATGGTGTTCTGTAAACCTGATGTGTTCAAGTTCCCCGTTAATCAGTAGGTTACCTAACCTAAAAGTACTAACAGTGAAACAGACGTCAAAGGACAAGGTCAGTGAGAAATATACTCGCAAGTGTAATATATCTATGGTAAGCAGAAGTGAAGGTCAACAGCACTCAACATCAAAACTAAGATCCGGATTTTTAACTCCAATGTGAAGTCAGTGCTACTTAATATACGGATCAGAGACTTGGTGCCTCATAAAGAGCACCTGAAACAAACTACAGATCTTCATTAATAGCTGTCTTCGCTCAATACTCAAGATCAGATGGCCGGCCAGAAAAGATCAGCAACAGAGATTTCTGGGAGCAAACCAACCAGGAACCGATTGTACGAGAAATATGCAGGAAGAAATGGAGATGGATTGGCCGACCATACTCTTAGGAAACAAACCATCAAGTGAGTGACATCACTAGACAAGGCATTGCTCGAGTGGAACTCGACAGAAAGGGAAGCGGCGAGTTGGTCGTCCCACCGTGGGGTGACTTCGAGGACGTCATGTGAAGAGGAGATGAAAGAATGTGGGCAGGCTTGGAGCGGGGTGAAAAAGTTGGCAGAGAACCGAAGGCAATGGAGACGCGCGGATGAAGCCTTATGTTCCTCTAGGAATTAAAGGACATAATAATAATACGTTCCCAGTGGAACATAGGACTTCAAGCTAAAGGTTTGAAGTTTCTGTAGCACTGGTAATTGTTTTTACAGGATGGAGTTGCTATGCTCATGCCACCAACCTTCCCTATTTACCAGTCTTACTACTGGCTAAGTGAGGTTTAGGAGTGCGTCTGTGGCCGAGGGTCAAACCCCGTACCACCTGTGTGGTCGGCGAGCACTCTACCGCTGTGCCACTGACGCACAAACTGGCTGGTATGATTGTGGGCAATAAACTCACCATGGAAAGTCATCTAGTTGTTAATAGTGAATCCCTGTTTGATGTTGGAAATCAACCTTCCTAATGTGATTACATTCTACCACAATGTTCAAGTTCTACACATCTACGTTACTATTGGCTGATGAAATAGACGCGTTGAGGTTTCAACGTGTGTCAGCAAAGAAGGATGAACGTTCTACGACTGAACCACTGACGACTTTAGACTAGTACTTTACTTGGTTAATTCATTTTAAGTGTAATCATTCTATGTCTGATTGCTTCAAGTTGCTCAGGAGGTACACTGAGATAAAATATGAGTATATATATGCTTTCTTTAATTTTTCATTTCTATAGAAAACATCAAGGGGATCCGAAGAATTTCAAGAACTTGACATTTTCGATAGATACACAGAATTCGGTGGACTGAAAACTCATGAGGGTGAAACGCTGAGAACAAAAGAAATTGACACAGAGGTAAGTTACATTATAACACATGGTACTGAATACCTTTCAAGTGGAAATGAGTGAGGCGCTAAAAAATTATAAAATACTAACTAACACTTCATTTATTAGGTATATTAAGTGTGTTTCAAAAGAGTACATTACATTTTCTTCCAGAGACAGACTACTATTACAACGGACTTATGAAATTTTGATGTGGTTTTGTTCTCTGAGCTGGATAGTTAGTTTGCGAAGCTTTCATCACCTTACTGGGTGACATCTTCAGCGCATACTTCAAATTGAAGTGAGCTTTTAGGTTTCTCCACGAGTTTATTAATCATTCCTCCTGGTGACCTTGGACGTGATTGGTTGTTTATGTGTGTTTTCACACCTTCTAGGTTACTTGTGTTGGAACTGATTGTTTCTGTGACTTGAACTTTGGCCAAAACAAAAGCCACCAAGGAAAACACAAAGAAAATCGCCTTACCATATATAAGATTCAAACAAAACTTAACTTGATAACAAAAATTACAAAAAAAAAAAAAAACAAAAAAAAAAAAAAAATGCAAGCCCTTCCAAACAAAACCCTTACCGATGGATAAATAAGAAAAAAAAATTTTATGTCAAAAAAATTTACAAAAAAAAATTGCAATAAAAATCAAAACAGGAAAAAAAACACAGCGGGATAAAAGGAACAAATATTAAACCAGGAATAAACAAAAACCAAATTCCCAATTACTTATGAAATTCCCCATAGAATGAATAGTCAAAATGGCATTTCCCCGGCTAATTAAGAAAGACTTTGTTATACTACGTAGGGCACTTAAAGCCGTTAGTAGGGCGAATGGGGTGTTGCTAAACCAACTAATGTATATAGACACTTGGATTCCTGCAACAAATTAGCAAATATTATCCTGTCAAACTCTGAACATCTTCTTCATACACAACTGTCTCTTTGCAACTAGAAGCCACCGTAGAAGACTGTATGCACGGACGACTAAGTAAAACAAAACTCTACGATACCTTATTTAGCATAGATTTTATATGATGAAAAAAGTGTAAGACAGGAAATTACCAGCTTATTGAGGAAATCTAAGTAAATGGCATTGTTTCTGCTCTCATTATTACATTGTCGTTATTATTTTTAGTTGATTTAATTTTATATTCTGTATTCTTATTGAACATTATTATTAATTTTAAATATTTGGTTTGTAAGGTTTAGATTTGTTTTGACCAGGTGATCACGGATTGAAATCAGCTAGAGAAGCATTGGAAACCAGCCACAGAGAGTACTGGACAGCCAGTTGTTTCATCCGCCTAATTTAGGAATCATCGACAGTACACACCCACCACCAAGATTCGAACCCAGGACCTTCGGTTACTAGGCGAGCTCAAGTACCATTCAGCCATTGGTACCCGATTCAATGGCCAGCCCATGAATTCCAACTTCTACAAGTTTGTGATTTAGCGCGATAGGCACCAACCAGTGTCATCAGTGGGACATCCATCCTCACACACTTGACTGGATGGACCTCGACGGTCACGAATCGGAATACGTTAGAGTTCATTGGCGGGCCACTGAATCGGGTCCCAGTGGCTGAATGGTACATGAGCTTGCCATGTAACCGAAAGGTCCTGAGTTCGAACCTTGGTGGTGGGTGTGTACGTTCGATGATTTCCAAAGTAGGCGGATGAAACAACTGGCTGTCCAGTACTCTCTGTGGCTGGTTTTCAATGGTTCTTTAGCTGATGTCACCCCATGATCAACTCGTTAAAACAGTTATAAACATCTTGATTTGATAATTCTCATTGAATGACATTGGCTAGTGGTAGCAGTAAAATCATGAATTAGAAGAAGTTAGAATTCATGGACTGGACATTGAGTCGGGTCCCAGTCACTGGATGGTCCACGAGTTTCACTTTTAACCAGAAGGTCCTGTGTTCGAATCCCAATGGATACATACTTCCGATCAGTCTCAAACTAGGCTGATGAAAGAGATGTCTGGTATTCCTTGCTGGTTTCCAACGATTCTCCAATTGATATTCATCCTCGATCAAACTCGGAAATATTGAAACGCAAACAAACTTTGCAAAAAGCAAATAAATAAAAACTATATATGTAAGCCACGTAGAACTAAATAACAAGAATAAACATGTCTGATCTAAACCCATAAGATATTTTGAACACGCCTCACAAAGATTAATACTCAACTATGATTTTCAATTTGCACATAACCTATGTTACCAATAAAGTAGGTTTAAACTAACTACTGCCTCCTTTTGGATATATAAATCCAGCTTCTTTAATCTGATTGAGCAGGTTTCAGCAAAACCAAGAGCTTTTCTATTGCCTTGCTTACTTATAACAATGAAGCTTTTACTCGGTGTCATCACATGATCGCTTAGGATTGTATCTTGAGTACTAGATAGCCAAGGGGGAAGTGTGTGGGGAGCAATGTGAACCGAAAGACATCTTTCTGTGCGCCTAGTGTATTTGCTTCCACAAGCATATGTACAGTGATGTACACATTTTTAGGTGGCAAAGTTCAGTGTCTTATCTTCGCCCGTTTCTCACAAAATATTCCCATTGTTGCGTTTATGAACAACATATCAGCAGGATAAATGTCACTGTTTTTGGAGTGTGCAGCTGACGAGTCCTATGAGAATTAACGAAATCATTAAATACTCATTTCTGTTTCACATTTGTCCCTTATTTTAAATACAGATTAGAATCAAGCCATATTGATATTAACCTTTAAAATTTATACTTTTCAGACTAAAACACCTGATAGACTGTTCAATAAAAGACCAGATAGTAAAGCAGTTTTACACTCTGGTCAGTCATTACGCAAGCAGTTAGCTTCTATCAAGGAACATGTAAAACCTCAACCATTTCCAGACAGACAACTGTATATTTATGTGATCGCGGATCCGACGGGTGAGTAATCTGACAGTAATTTGATGATTATTCTCATTTGTCATTGAGGGAAGTAACACAGAATTTATGAATTTGTAAGTTTGAAAGCTGATCAGGATGGCAATAGTGGCTGGAGCCCTAGTTGTTTTGTTAGAATTGTAATATCCACTGTTGAACGGATGACGGTTTTACGCAGCACGAAAAATAGGTTCATAATTTAACTGCCAGTATATAATAGAATGGCTCCACATGAGCAGTTAAATTGATTGATTCATTTAGGGCGTGGCTAGCCTACTTACATCAACTTCAAGTTTCGAAATTATAACCGGTTGTAGGGGAAAATGTAATCTTCAGCTTTCTGACATTAGGCGCTTTGTAAATCGATTCTCTCAACTTGTTGGTTATTATTTCATTTGATACACCATCACCTTTGAATTGTAGTCGTTTGTGGAGGCTTCTTGTTAACAGATACAAAAGAATTCTTTCCCTCGTTTCTTGATTATTTGTTTGGTGATGAACTTTTTCGGGTAGCTGTTTTCAGTTAACGTATGGAAAACTCAGCGAGGCGTTTGGAATAGACACAGGAGTCAGACAAGGGTGCTTATTATCACCCACGATGATATTCCTAATTGTGGTGGACTCACTGGATCATGCGTCAGACAGTGAGTGGGAAACGAGAAGACACGGATATCCTGGACCAACGCGAAGACCGACCTAGAAGATCTGAATTTCGCGCGTGGATGATTTATGTTTGATGTCACTGTCACAAAATTGAAGACTGACAAGCGAAAACCGACCGACAAACTGGTCGAAGAAACAGGTAGTGGAGACATGACTCCAGGTGAACATAGACAAGATGAAGGTTATGAGAATAACCAACTGACAACACCACCAACAACAACAACAGCAACAGCATCCAACGTCAATCACCATCAACGGAAGGGATTTGAAAGAGGTTACTTCATTCAATCACTTATCTAGGGAGGGAGCATTGTCTCAACTACACTCAGTCGGAAAGGACGAGGATGTCAAATCGAGCGAGAATCGGGTGGCAAACGAGAAACACATTCATCAACCTGAAACCAATCTGGAAGGAAATCTTCGTCACTCAGCCAGCATCAACAACAAAATTCGGTCGGATTTTCAATACAAACACGTCAAGTCAGTCAGTTCTTCTACATGGATCAGAAACTTGGCAGGGGGGGCGGGTCACACAGAATATTTCCAACAGCCTGTTGCAGACCAGACTTTTATCAACAACTGTCAACTATCGCTCTATACTGAAGATCAGATGGCCGGCCCGGAAAGAATCAATCACCAACAACAAGAAACTATGGGAACAAACAAACAAAACAAGAACCAATCACCAACCAACAAATATGCAGGAGAAAGTGGAGATGGATTGGACACTCGCTCGCTTAGGAGGCCGCCGCTGGGTGACATCGTGCGCGCGTCAGGTCATTGCTCGAGTGGAACCAGCCCGAAAGGGAAGCGGCGAGTGGGACGTCATTGGAAGGGTGACATGGAGGAGATCGTGTGAAGAGGAGTTGAAAGAGTATGGACTAACATGGATGCTGGTGAAAAGTACAGCAAAAGACAGAAGCAAGTGGAGACGTACACTTGAAGCCTTATGTTCCACTAGGAACCCAAGGGAGCAATATTAATAGTAATAATGGAATAGAACTTTAAGTTCGTCTTCAGTTACATCTTCAGAACAAATAGCTCTGACCTTACAGCTGATGGTCTTCATTAAATTCATTTCATACCAGAGAGGAACAAAACTATGAAAATGCTTGTATGTTGACCAGTCCAAGTACTTCTCTTGTGCAAATCCTTTTCTTTGCTACAGTCTGGTCTTCTTTTCCGTAGGATGTCTGGAGAGGTAATCTAACTTTGGGATATCTCTTTACACGTGAATTTGATAGTTGAACTTACTTGATTCAGATGAGATATTGTTTTATTCTTGTCGGAATCATTTTCACAAAGAGTGAAATTGCTATCTGTAAACCGGCACTGAAATGAGAATTTTCCAATAAGGTTGTTCAACAGATCCTTTTCTAGTTTATTCAGAAAGAAATCTACTGATGTGGGACTCAATGTAGAACCTGTCACTACTCTATCCACCTGTCTATAGAGTCCATCGGCAAACTTAAAATACAGATTCGTGATACACTCAAGTGATAATATGCATTTTCAGAGAAATAAAAGCAATGCTAAAAAGCTGATCTGATCACCGACTACAGCATGCTGTTGTTACTCATTTCTTACATACAAAATAGGACATAGGATTTCACCATTACGTCTTCATTCAGTGCCATCCCAAGCCATAACTTTCGGATAGCTTTGTGATTACCCGCAAGCTTCTATTCCCCCTTCATATGGTCACTTCCATGTCTCTCTTAGGCTCCCAACTCCTCGCTGCTTATTCGGGTTCCACTAGAGAGCTTGATTTGTGATGGAGTTTCAAGGTCCCCTCAGTGTATATCCAGTCTGTCTCAATTTCTCTCAGCATATTTGTCAGGCAGTGTATCATACTATTAAAATGCATAAGTCAGGTTACCCTATACGACCAATAGTAGATTTCAGGAATACTCCTACTTATGAATTGTTTAAACACTTAGCTCTAATATTATGACCCATTAGAAATCATTTAAACTCTAGACAAACTAATTCATATGAGATGAAAAACAAACTAAATGACATTCGACTAGAGAATGATGAAACTATGGTTAGTTTTGTTTGATATAACTAGTCTTTGTACTAATACACCAATCAATGTGGCCTTAGAAGCAGTTAAAAAAGAACTAACTGCAGATACTGTACGCACTCATAGTACAAAACTGCACATTGAGAGAATTATTTTAGGAATTTACTTATGCCTCACATCTACTATCTTCCAATTCCAAGGCAAAATATATAGACAAACAGAAGGTGTAACAATGGGATGGATCACAAATATCCCCTATCGTAGCAGACATACTCATGGACAGCTGGGAAAATATTGCTCTTAATACGTTTAATCCTACTCCAAAAGTATGGTGGAGGTATGTGGACGACACTTCCACTCTCAGTGTTAAACCAGGACATCCCTCTCTCTCTCTCTCTCTAGCTTCTTGAAACATATAAACTCACTAGTAGAGGGAATAAAATTCACATTTGGGTCGGAAAATGGACAAAGAGAATTAGCTATGATGTTAGATTGTAAAATGAACCGAATAGAAGAAGGTGAACGGCAAACTAGCGTTTAGAAAACCAACGCATTCTAATATTGGATACTTAGACTTTAATTCGTCTCATCCGTTATGTCTATGAAGACAGGCTTAGATAAGCGCCTAACAAATCGAGCAGTAGCACCAAGTAGTACAAGAAAAGACCTAAATCATGAAATAAAACAGATAGAAGAAGAAGCGTTGGTATCAAATAACTATCCTATAAAATTCATTAGGCAGATCAAAAAGGCCAAAAGCAAAATAATAATAATGATGAAACTGATAACGATAACATAAATAACAGAGAATATAAGGCATCTAATGTTATATCATATAAGCAGGGGACATCTGAGATCTTATGTAGGATTCTGAATAAAGCAGGAATTAGAATGGCATTTAAACCTACAAATGCATTCAGGGACAAGCTCTGTAGGTTACAGGACCCAGTTGGCCCAATTAAGCAAAATACTGTAATTTACAAAATACCCTGCAATGACTGTGAGGTCGAACAAGTAGGTCAGGGGTAGTCAGATTGTCGGAACATAAGAATTCAGCTAAGGTTAGAATGGTTGACTCCGAGATGATCAGTAATTTAGAAGAAAAAACTCACCACTACATTGAACTACATGCACCACACAATGGCATGGTAGAAGAGGGTTAAAATTCTGAGAAGTAATCTGTGTAGGTGGAGAGTGAAAGAGGTTGATTACTGAATCTTGATTCATCGAACGAATCTACACCCAACACATGCAACAGAAATGACTCATCACTCATATCGGATATATGGAAAATACTACTACCAATCAAATCAAGCGATGGAAAGTAATTGATTTATATAAACGAAGTTGTGTGTGAGTAATGCCTTGATATGATTATGAGTGGCAATAAATTGTTCTCGAAACGTGGTCATCCGTAAATATTACTGTATGACACTGTGAGACTTTATCAAAATAAATTTTACCCATAATGGAATGATTGTTGGTTAGTTCCTTGCCATTACATCTTCAGAAGGGAATAAAAGCGGATGTTGATTGACTGATGAAAGAGTATAGTAGTATGTTAATTGTGTTAAAATTTTATAGAATATACAATCTCAGCAATATCATAGGGCATAATTCTTTATAAGTGAATAATTTTATTTGATGTAACTAGCAGTGATGCAGTACTGTGTATTTATTACTGACGTTTCGATCACAAAGCTGATCGCTCATATCCATCCATATCAAGATATTAACATAATTATCAGACTTGGTTTATGTGGTCCAGATTCGATCAAGTATTCCAGGACAGAGCCGCTGGGAAGAAGGGGGGGGGCTATTTTTTTCTCTTTTTTATAAAACCATGAGTATAAGTGTTTAATGATACGTTTAGATAGCACACACTTGGTATGGCCAACAGATAGCTCCTTCAACCGAACAGGTGAATATGTAGACGCATATTGATGAGTCGGCCAGCAGCGGTAGCCTATCCTCCATAACATTCATCTGACATGGTAATCACATTGAAGAGTTTTTGACTGATACATTTTTGGAGGATCTTTACGGTCATACAACCAGTTCAATATTCATTATCTATAATTTTAATAGTTCACGGATGTGTAAACGATACATAAGCACTCTGTATTTAGAATAATGGAGTTTTCAAATGAATGGATACTTAACAAAGAGTAATCTTTTCGATAAATTCATCATCAGGCTCTGCAGTTATATATACACATTATAGTGAATGAATGAATTAGTGTTATGAACGACATTAATGTTGTTTAAATAACATCGAATCAATAATATTGATAGATTACAGCTCAATAGTATC